GCAGAGGAGGGCTCCTGCCCTAGGGCCGGATCTGCTGCCCAGGCGGCCTCACTTTTCTGTTCTCTTCCAGGAAGCTATCCAGCACAACTCCTTCTTCGAGGGAGAATGGAAACTGGAATGTGGAAATGTTGATGAAGCATTTAAAGTGGTTGATCAAATCCTTGAAGGTAAAACTATCTGAACAAAAGGATGAGGGGGAAGCACCCCTGGGAAGCCTTCTGAGCATGTCTAGCTTAATGCCTTTGCCTTCTAGAAATCAGCTCGGAAACAGGCACCTCCTTCACAGAAGTGTTCCCCTCTGTTGTGTGTATGTGTGTGCTTAGGTGTTTGTGTGTGTGTGTGTGTGTGTGTGTGTGTCTGTCTGTGTGTGAAGAGCTCAGCAGAGAGACGAAGTGGGAGGCTCAGGCCTTGCCCATGGCCGCCCCCTGTGCTGGCCACCTGCCCCACTGCGGCCCCAGTTGCTATACAGATGTCGTCTCTTCCTGTTCACAGTCACCCTGCAGGTGGGGAAACTGAGGATCGGAGTGGTTATGGAGCTTGTCCACGGTCACACAGCAGCTGCTGAGCGACAAGGCTGGTCGTGGACTTGGTGGCTTGTTTTAGGATCTCTAGATCCCCGTTTCTTCTCTTTCGTCCTTTCTCTCCCTGACTTCTCCCTCCTCCCTCCCTTTCTTCTCTGCTTTCTCCCTCCTTTCCTCTCTCCCTCCTCTTCTTCTTCCCTCCCTTCCTTCCAGACTTCCTTCCATTATGTATATATGTAACTAAAATTAAATTTCCCTCTTAGAAAATAGTTGAATTGAACTTTCCAATAATAACTTTGTAACTTATTAATTAGAAGTAATATTACATTTACCCAAAATTTGCAGAAACATTAAAGAAATTCCTAATTACCCTTCACCCAGAATCCCCAATTATTAACATTTTACACTTGCTTTATCATTCTCTCTCTCTGTCTATATGTATATATAAATGTAAATTTTTTTTCTGAGCCCTTTGAGAGTAAGTTATAGACATGATGCCTCTTTACCTCTAAATACTACAGTGTTTATTTCCTCAGAACAAGGACATTATCTTACACAGACATACAGTTATAAAAATCAGAACATCAACATTGACTCAATACTATTATTTAATCTTATAGACCTACTTCAAATTTTGCCATTTGTCTCAGTAATGTCCTTTATAGCAGAAAAAAAAAAGATTTACCACGGGTCTTAAATAACCCATAAGGTTCCCACTGTGCTCTGGTGTCTCCCATGCTGTGGAAAACCTGCATCCAAGATCGGATTTAGCCAGAGGTGTTTCTGGGTGGGTGTGGGCTATCTGCACCAGGTCTCAGGGCAGAGAATAAAGCATTTGACATTATCTGTCTTTAAGTGAATTTCCAGGATATTGGCCTCTAGATGGTAGTTAGAAACTACAGTCTCCCTAATTTTTCTTTCCAGCTCTGATCCCAAGCACAGGAAGAGTCCTAAGACACACTGTCCCCGAACACACAGCAGAGCCGTGTCATATATAACAGTTGGTCCACCCACTTGAGCCCAAAGCCCGCCATGTTTCTTATCTCCATAGCTGCGTTACACCTGAGGCTGGTCACAGGCTGACTGGATAATGTCCCCTCTAAGTTGTAGAAAAGACACCGTACACCATCACCCTGCCAGTGTTCCTTGGCGCCCTGTCTTATTAGCTGTGTGACGTGGCAGGGCACGTCTCAGGCCTCAGTCTCCTTGTTTTAAAATTGTATGGAGAAAGTAATACTGATCCCAGAGATCCACTCTGAAGATCATAAGAGATAATATGTGTGTGTGGCACAGAGCTTGGCACATAGCAAGGGATCCATAACGGTGAGTGATGGTTATTATCAGGTTTGGGGTGTTTGTTGTTGTTGTCAAGAAAAGGTGTCTGTTATTGAGCTAACACACTGGCAGGCATTCATTTATCACCCCCGATGTTTCCCAGTTTTTCTCACTGTGAGATGTTTGTGAGACCTGCCTGCAGACTCCTGTGCCCTTTCCTGGAATTCTGGAGTTGGAGGATCCCGGGTGCCCAGGACTCTGTTTCTGACGAGTGTTCACAGTGCTCCGGGTGACTCTCAGGATTAGTAAAAGGTGGTACCCTCAAAGGGCGAGTTCATTTTGTGGGAGAAGAGAAGGGGGGACATTTTTGGCACAGAGTCCATGGTGTGAGCATCCTGGGCACACCACCGTTTAGGGGTTCCTGCACCTGTGCCGTAGTGTGTTCTTGCCTCTGTTCTTGCCATAATGTTTTTAGGTCAGAACTCAATTATTGTATTTTTCCTTTACATCTTATTTAATGATTTAATTCAGTTAGGTAATTTGTTCCATCTGTCTTCTACTTGACTTTTATCTTGTTACAGCCCCATACCCTATTGATATGTGTAAAAGTGACACAAGAGGCTTTAAAAGGGACATTTATTCTACTTTTAGGTTTTCATCCTCTTGACTCATGAGTTTGAGGTATTTTTTTCTTATTCTGTAATTGTCATTTGGAGTACGAATTTTTGACTCATCATTTCAATGAGAGGTGACTCATTGAGAGTAGTAATAACAGCACTGTGTCTGCCCCTGGGAAAATAGGTGTTTCAGGAAAAGAGAATATTGGAAAGATAAAATAGGTGGAGCGTGACATCAAGTCTCAGACCGTGTTCTTGAAGAGAGTGACCGTTGTTTGCTTTGATCCGTGTGGGGGTGTACGTCAGCCCTCCCTAGCCCTGGGGTCACGGCACCAGAGGGCATTAAAATCGCATGTACCCTCGTGTCCCAGCTCTGCAGTGAGCCTTCTCTGCTCCGCGTTGTGCCGCTTCTCGTTCATCTCTTTAACCTTCTGTTGGCCGGGATGGGCCTCCCACTGCAGAGTGTGGAGCACAGTCTCTGAGCAGGATTTGCAGGAGATCTGGGAGCCCTGACGTGGGGTCAGCTTCCCCACAGCCTGTCCTCTTTGGCCTGGGACAGATGACTCCTTCACACCTGAATGGCTTTTCGGTCTTTAAGGGCCTCTTATTAAGATGTAAATACGCCTGGAGGAATCACTCTACACCCACAGGGGGATAAAATTTTGTCTCAGGGATGAGTTGATCGAATTGGCTTCCAACCTAGAGAGTTGAGAGCAACACCGTAGAGTGAAGAGGGCGCCATGGGTCGAGGGCTGCGGGGGTGCAGCCCAGTGTAACAGGGTCTAAACCCTTGCCTGCCTTAAAGGTTTAAGCAGAAACAGCTCTGTCTAATGTTTTTTAGTTTTGTATTTTTTAAATGAAGTCGATGTTTAATAAAATTAATTCTGAGTGGCTAGGTGGAAATGCTAATACTGCAAACCGTGAATTTGAGCCTACTGACAAGTGGGCTTTCAATGTACAGTCTTTGATTAAAGCTTAAGTTGAAATTGAGATCTGAATTCTTCACATTTTAATTTTTATGTTGTATAAATGAAACAGAATCAGCTCATTTTTCTGTATTCTGTCTTTACTCAGATTTTGCATAAGATAGGAAGTCCAGACAACAGTACAAAAGATTTCCCTGTGAATCTCCCTCAAGCAATTTGCAAATCACCATTTTGGGGTATAATTTTTAGTTTTTAAAAGTCTGCCTTCCACCTAATGTGATGGCTGGTCATAATTGTATTCTGTTTTTTTCTTCTGTTTTTTGTTTTTCTCTGTCTTCCAGTGGGTTACTTGAAGATTTTTCAGAATTCCTTTCTGACTTATCTATTGTGTTTTTGAGTGTATATCTTTGTCTAGTTTTTTTAGTGGTAGTTGTAGGTGTTAAATTTTCTTTATATATATTATAATATATCTGGTAGCAACATTTGATCAGTTTGAGTAAAGTATAGAAACCTTACCTCCCTTTGCATCCCTTTACTATCCCTCATTTATAATATCCTTGTCTTAAAAATTCCCTCCACATTCACTGAGTACCGCATGAAGCAATGTTATAATTTTGCTTTTAATGCAATTCATAAAACTCAAGAGGAGACGGAAAGTCTACTGTGTTTACCTGTATTTTATTCTTTCCGTTGTTCTCTCTCCTTTCTGAACAGGAACAGAAGTGTTCTAGTTCTGAGATTCCTTTTTTTAAAAAAGATCATTTCTTATCTGTTTCAAAAACTTCCTTAGTCATTATTTTAGGGTAAGTCTAAGACAAAATTTGTTAGTTTTCCTTTATCTAAGAATGTCTTGATTTCCGTTTCATTCTTGAAGGGTATTTTCACTGGATATAGAATTCTGAGTTGACAGGTCTTTCAGTGCTTGAAGAAGATGTTGTACCAGTTCCTCTGGCACCCATAGTTTCTGATGACAAATCTGCTGCCTTTCAAAGTATTTTTCCCCTATAGGTGAGGTAGTGTTTTTCTCTCTCTTCTGTCAAGATATTTTCTTTTTTTTACTCTTATGAAGTTTGACTGTGATGTGTCTTGGCAGGGATTTCTTTGGATTTAACATGTTCCCAGATATTCCCTCAGCTTCATGAATCTGTAGGTTTGTGTCTTTTACCATATTTGGTAAATTTTCAGCCATTGTTTCTTCAAAAACTTGATTATCACAACAGAAATTTCAATCATTTATTATAGGTGTATAGGTTCCTGATGCTCTACTCATTTTCTTTTCAGTCTGTTTTTTTATGATGTTCAGATTAGGCAATTTCTGTTGTACTATATTCTTGTTTACTGATTATTTCCTCTGTCCTCTCTATTCTGTTGTTGAATAGTTCAGTGTCATCCACTGAACCTCTTAAATTTTTTTTTTTTTGGTATTTCTTAGGCCTAAAATTTCCATTTGGTCCTTTTTATGTCTTCTGTTTCTTTGCTGAGATTTTCTGTTTTTTCATTTGTTTCAAGTGTTTATGTAAATGCTCATTGAAGCGTTTTTATGATGATGCTTTGAAATCCTTGTCAGGTAATTCCAACCTCTGTGTCATCTCCAGGTTGTCATCCCTTGATGATCTTTTCTCATTCAAGTTGAGTTCTCGGTATTATGAGTGATTTTCGATTGTGTCTTGGTCGTTTTGGGTATTATGTTGTAAGACTCGGGATCTTATTTAAATCTTCTATTTTACCAGACCTCTTCTGACCCTGTGTTGGTGTGAGAGAAGGCTGATGCCTTGTTGTTGCTAGGTGAAGGGCGCAAGTCCATGTTCCCCATATGGCCCCACTGACACCACCCAGCAGAGGGTTGGGGCATCTCGTTACAGCCTGAGAAGAGCAGAAATCTAGGATCCCCACCCAAATGTTGCAGATAAGGATGAGGCCACAGCTTTTTCTGTAGTTTTTGGCTGGAATAGAGTGCTTATTACATAAAAGTTTTCTGTCCTGCTGGGTTTCCCCTTTGCTGTCCTTGGCTAGTGACAGTAGGGTTCTTGGGGCTTTTTGTCAGTCTTTGTCTATTGGTGCTTTTGGATTGTTGGCTTCTCTGGCACCAAGTCTAGGATATAGAAAGCAAACAAAAACCACAACAACAAAGTCCACTGAACTCACCATTGTGTCTTTGCTTGGGTCCCAAAGTCCCTAGCTGGTCTGCCTTCTTCTCTCTGCCTTTCAGTCTTCTTCTGTTTCTTTTATACATAATGTCCAAGGTTGTTAGCTGTACGTAGCAGAAGGAACAGGGATCTTGTCTTGGAACTGGAAGTCTTCTTGCCATATTATTTTGAGTCTGGAAAGTCACACACCCCTCCCTAGGATTCTGTGACTGTATTGGCAGTAATGACAGAATCCCCTACAGGACTCTATGTCAAATCTGCACCTATAATGAATGCTGACTGTTGTTGGTGGCCCTTCACTGTGTAGCCTCCTGTCCCAGTGAAGCACCATCACTGGAATTTCTCTGTAATGGGATAACAGCTGGGGGACACCACCTGTCCTCTCTGACAGCCTCCTTGACTGGTGTACTTTCCTGTAACAGGTGAAGTACATGTGGGAGGTCAAGAACATTTCTATATGGAAACCCAAAGCATGCTGGTTGTTCCCAAAGGAGAGGATCAAGAAATAGATGTCTATGTGTCCACACAGTTTCCTAAATACGTACAGGTAACATGGGGCCGCTGTGGAGGGGACATGGCTAAATGATTTCTGCCAGCAAAATATACCAGGAGCAATTAGAGACAAAAGTGTCATTTCAGAGACAGAAGGAATTTGGAGTATTAATAAGCAATCCATTTGGGTATTAATAGCCATACAATTGCAAAGCTTTTAAAAGAGTGTGAAAGTAGGGGCCTTCTGTTTATGGATGCATAACTTTAAAACCAGTTATGGAATCAGCAGATCTCTTGCTGTACTCTTGAAACTGTTAAGAATCCAAAAAAAAAAGGGCCACCTCTGGTGGCCTAGTGGTTAAGTTTGCCACTCCGCTTTGGTGGCCTGGGTTCAGTTCCCAGATGCGGCCCTGCACTGCTCATCTGTCAGTTGCCATGCTGTGGTCGTGGCTCACATACAAAAAAAGAGGAAGATTAGAAGATTGGCAATGGACGTTAGCTCAGGGCAAATCTTCCTCAGCAAAAAAAAAAAAAAAAAAGCAAAAAAAAAAAAAGAGAAAGGCCTGCCCTCCAAAGCCTGTAACACCTAACTCACATGAAGCAGTTAAGAAACGTTTTGGACTGAATACAACCAACTACATAAGCAGCTAGTTTAGAATTTACACAGGTGAGAGAATTAAGAAAATAAGGATTTGCTGGGTTTTAGAATCATCCAGAAAGTCCGATGCAGAACAAATCTTCAGTTTGGATTTATAGTGAGAGTGAGGTTTGTCTAGACGGTGAGAAGAGAGGCCATTTCCAGGCAATTCCACACCAAGATCAAATGCCACTCATTCGTTCATTCATTCACTCGTCCCTTCTGCAAACACTTATTGCCTGTGTCCTATGTATCAGGCAGCATGCATGTAAGAAAGAGGAAAGGCACAAAGATGCCCACGCTGGAACGGAGGATGCATTTGGGGGGCCTAGTTTAAGCGTCAGGGTGAAAGTACAGGGCACAAAGCACAGGGCTCTTGATTCAGTGGGTCATAAGGAGCCAGTGTCGTGACCAGAGCAGGTGGAAATGGGGGATTGTGGAGACTGAGGCTTTTAGAAGGCGGAACAGTAGGAAGGGCCTGGCAAGCCCCACCCCAGCCCTGTTCTGCTCCTCACGCCTGGCGTGACGTTGAGCCCATCACTTCACCCCTCTGGGGTCCCCGTCTATATAAATGCCCTCTAAACAATAGGATGGCAAAGAAGAGCAAGGCCTGCATCCGGGGAAGACCCGCTGGCCAACTTCAGCAGGAATCCAAATGGGAGGTGAGAAGAACCTGCAGGGAGACAGGAGGATGCAGGGAAAGACCTCAACATCTCACTGCTTCAGGAAACACACCCCTAGGGATCAGTGTGGAAAGGACACTTGAGTGTGGTTCATGGGGAAAATTTTTAAAAATTTATTGACACAAAAACATCTCATTGATATTGAAAGGACTACTTAATGTTAGTGATAGTTTTGGCAATGTCATTATAGCCAAATACCACTGAGACCAGGCATGGATGCATGCCCAGGTCACTGGAAATCATCCCGTTATTAGTATAAGCACACAGTTTGTGTAGCATGGGCGTTATGGAACCAATGGGCCAGGGCTGTCCCCCTCCCTTGCTACAGATGAGTCAGATTAACAAAAACTGTTACCCTTCACAGCTCATAGTGGCTTCGACCCTGAAGCTCCCAGCTAACAAGGTCATGTGTCATGTAAAGCGTCTTGGTGGGGCGTTCGGGGGAAAATCGGTCAAAACCGGCATCATGGCTGCCATCACTGCATTTGCTGCAAACAAGTAAGTGGAGAAAATCTGCTAAACAAAGAACAAAAGGAGGTCACACTGAATATTCATAATATCAGCGTTAAGGAGGAAGAATCTGGGTCAAGATTATTCAAAATTACTTAGAATAAACAAATACAACAACAAGCTGCCAGCTTGTTACAATGTCTTTATCTTATACTGTCAAACTGCATACTATAAGAACCAAAATGAGAATCAATTACTGAAAAGAAAAGAAACTACAGTAAAAATACTGTAATACCTGGAGAGTAGAGAGAAACAGGTCCCGAAAGGGTAGGGGTTACTTGTCCATAGCACCTGTGAGATATATGTCCCAAAAAGTTCATATATTCATATATATAAATATATTCTCTTGATTGAAATGGAGATTTTGCTTTTGTTATGCTTACCTTTATTTGTATTACCATTTTCCTTTGAGAATCTCAAAACATTCCCATAGGAAATTGTCTTTGGAGCCGGCACACCTAGAAGGCTTAATTTCTCTGCTGAGTAATGTAGGTCAGTTCCTGTGTCCATGACACAAAAGACCCTGATTCCAGACCTGTCCTCTCAGGGAACACTTGGCAGGCAGAGACCGCTTGAGTTCCTCCGTTTGTAACCAGTCTATACTGTGGCCTTCGGACTGTTCGCCTATGGCAGAGGCTGTTCCCACAGTGGGAAATACCCCCAAGCAATACCCTGGTGCCTGTGGCGCCCAAGAGCCCTCCTCCCATAAATAGTGAATGCCAGGCGTTGTGCCCTAACCCAGCAGGAGGGAGACCACAGTGTAGGCCTGAGATCAGCACAGCTGGGCTCAGAGAGTAGTTCCGTTAGGTGTGTGGACGCCGCTCAGGCTCTCACCAGGTGTTATATAAACACCAGGTAATACCTATTTAGTGAAAGAGTTTACCTTTCTTGCTTTCTTTTCTGTTTTAGACATGGTCGTGCAGTCCGCTGCATTCTGGAACGAGGAGAAGACATGTTAATAACTGCGGGCCGCCACCCTTACCTTGGAAAGTACAAAGTGAGTAGAGGAAGAAGTGGGGTGGAAAGGATTCATGTTGTAAGTAGGACATTTCGTAAGTGCAGGGCGCAGCATTTGGCTACTCTCCAATGGGGACTAACAATGAGCACATCAACCAATTATGCTTCCATGGAACTTTCCATTCATTGTGCTGATTGTTCAGTGAAGCTTTTCTGCTTTGCTCAAAGATGTCAGTTTGTGAAGAGTACTAGCTGGTATTGGCTGGTGCAGAGCAAATAACCGGAAAACACACGAGGATATGCATCTGTGAAAGTAGATCTGATAACCGTACTGTTCCCACATACTTTAAAAACAGAATAATTCCCACAACAATAATGTTATGTGAAATTGCAATTATTTGCCAACACAGTCCTCATTTTTCAATATATCAAGGGTATTTTTGTAAAACTCTGTCCCAGAAGTTTCTAGAAACATTTCCATAGGAGAAAATAATTATTTTTTGCCTTATAAGAAATAAATAGTTGTCAGAATGTATAACTGCTGTAACAAACAACTAACAACTCTCAGGGACTTCAACCTTTATTGTGTTATTTCTTGCTCAAGTAACAGCCCAGTATAATCAGTGGGGCTTGGGAGAGGGGAGAGGAGAGGACACTGCTCCAAAAAATCATTCAAGGACTCAAGCTTTTACCATCTAGTAATGCCACCATCATCCCCTCTGACTGCACTGTCCAATACAGAAGACACGAGGCACATATGGCTATTTAAACTTTAAGTACATTAAAGAAAATTAAAAATCTGTTCCACAGTTGCATTAGCTGTATTTCAAGTGCTCAGTAACTACATGTGGCTAGTGGCTACCATGTTGGACATGCAGGTGTAGGACATTGCCATCATCACAGAAAGTTCTACTGGATAGCACTGCCCTAGGGACTCCGAGTCCTCTACTGGACCTCTTGCAGAGGGCAGAAGACAAGGGGAGAGAGCGAGCAGGAGTGTAGTGTGAGACGTGTTTCAGGCACCAGATGTGTGAGTGTGGACCTTGCCTCTATCCACATGTTGTTGGCCAGGACTTTGCCACCTCACTGCAAGGGAGGCTGGGAAATTAGTCTCCCATGTGCCCAGGATTTGTTGAACACAGCATTGTCTCTTCCACAACTGGTGTACCTGCATATATATTTTTAGAAGATAATGAATGTGTCTATTTCAACTCACATTCACTCTAAGCTATGTTTTGAATTTGCTTTAGTTCAACAAAGATTTATTAGAGTGAACTTTGTCCTGACAGAGATTACATTTTGGGAGTTGAGGGGGAAATAAGACTTACACACAAGAAGTCATTATGAAAACATAATAATCTGGGGTTAAAAGATGAGGCACACAGAGTAAGCCTTTGGGGAGAGATGAATATGAGCTTGAGTATGTACAGGAGACATCTTAGAGAAAGTGACACATATATGGCCTTCAGGAATGGATGGCAGAAAGAGGGCGTCCAGGTGGTGGAAGGAGTGGGAGCGAACATGCAGAGGTGGGAGGCACATGTGTGTTTGATCAGGGCAGGAGTAGGAGAGAGGGAAGAGAGCACAGAGTGCTTACTGAAGAGGGGTGCAAACGAGGATTGGTCAGGTTAAGTGGTGCAGACTGAGAGGAGCCTGGAGTCCCAGGATGGGGGTTTAACCTTGATCTCATGAGAGAGAGTGAGACTGAGCAGATCCTTGACCAGTCAAGTGTCATAACCAAACATGGGTGCATCGGGGAGGGTGATATGATGGCACCAGGCCAGCTGGAGAGGAGAGAGGGTGGAGGCAGGCAGACCACCAGGAGGCAGCTGATGCAGTCAGACATGAAGCTGTTGGGGTCTGAGCTATGATAGCAAGATGCAGAAGAAGAGACGAGTCCAAGAGCCATGATAGTATGAAATAAAAGAGGAGTTGGTGACAAACTTGGCCAAGTACAATGGGGACTAGAACCACTAACATGATTTGGAAGTTTCTAGTATAAAGAGCCAAGTTGGAAGGAAGAACCAATCTGGAGGGACAACGATGAGCTTGTTTGTGTAAATGTGGGGAAAGAAGTGACAACAGGACATTTAAGTAGAAATGTCCTTCACCAATATGGGACACTATTGAAAGGACTGGATTATATTTATAGAGGCCATCAGCATAGCAGTGATTAAAACTATGAGAAAATAATATTTTCTAATGGGGAATAGTGTGAGGACAGTAGATAATAATATTTATGATAGTAATATTAATAATTTATATCTAGAACACGAGCTGTGTTTCAGTCACTTACATATTAGTTTCCATGCATTGCCTTATTCATGGCCACTTCACAGATAGTCAGAGAGGCTGTATAGCTTGCCTGGATCGCAGAGCCAGCACTCCAACTCAAACTGCTGGAGTTCAGAAGCCGTGCCCTTGACCACGACTTTGGTTTGAATTTGGTTCCGTTTAACAAAAATCATTAAGGGGAACTTTAATAAGTTCAGAGATAGTGAAGCAGAGTGCAGCCAGAAAACAGGGGTATTGGATACACCTTAAAAGCAAGGATGATATTTATTTGAAAGACCTCCAGCAACACCAAATGCTGCTGGGAGTTTTTGTTGGATTGGGCCCTATGAGAAAACTGTGCACAGTACCCTAGGAGCAGGCCAGCGGATGCGGAGATTAGGAGGTTAGTGGCTTTGGGGGAGAAGGTTTGGGTAGATATGTGAGGATGGGAGCCAGAATCCAGGACCTGTGGCGAGAAGGAGAGGTCAAGAAATAGGCAGTTGGTTTGCGTTAGGAGGAGAGAAAAGGATTGATTCACTAGTAATGATAAATGGATAGGAGGAGTTTTTGTTTGTTTGTTTTGGTTTTATAGCTTTCTCCACCCTTCCATTTTTATTATTATTTTTAGTTGTGGCAAAATACACACACATAAAATTTCTATCTTAACCATTTCTAAGTATACAGTTTGGTGGCGTTAGTACATTTACATTGTTGTGCAACCATCACCACCCTTCATCTCTGGAATTTTTTTCTTCTTGAAAAGCTGAAACTCTGCACCCATTCAGCAATAACTCCCCATTCCTTCCTCCCCACAGCCCCTGGGGACCACCGTTCTACTTTCTGTCACTAGGAATTTGACTGCTCTAAGTACCTCAAATCAATGGAATCAAACAGTATTTGTCTTTCTGTGTCTGGCTTATTTCACTTAAGATAACTCCCTGAAAGTTCATCCATGTTGTAGCATGTGTCAGAATTTCCTTCCTTTTTAAGACTAAATGAAATTCCATTGTTTGTACATTCCACATTTTGTTTATCCATTCATCCATCAGTGGACACTGGGTTGCTTCTACCCCTTGACTTTTGTGAATGAGGCTGCTATGAACATAGGTGTGCAAACATCTCTTCAAGACCCTACTGTCAGTGCTTTTGGATACATACCCAGATGTGGGATTACTGGATCATACTATAGTTCTATTTTTAACTTTTTGAGGAACTTCCATACTGTTTTCTGTAGCAGCTGCACCATTTTTCCTTCCCACCAACAGTGCACAAGGGTTCCAATTTCTCCATATCCTCACAGACATGTATTATTTTCTGTTACTGGTTGTTTGTCTTTATAGGAGCCACGCTAATGGGTGTGAGGTGGTATCTTGTGGTTTTGGTTTGCATTTCCCTAGTGATTAGTGAATTTGAACATCTTTTCATCTGCTTGTTGGACATCTTTATATCTTCTTTGGAGAAATCTCTATTCAAATCCTTTGTCCACTTTTTAATCAGGGTGTTTGTTTTTTTGTTGTTGAGTTGTAGGAGCTCTTTATACACACTGGGTATCATCCCCTCTCCAACATATGATTTGCAAATATTTTTTCCCATTCTCTGGGTTGCCTTTTCAGTCTATGATTGTGTTCTTTGATACATGGAAGTTTTCATTTTGATGTAGTCCAATTTATCGATTTTTTCTTTCATTGCCTGTGCTTTTGATGTCATGTCCAAGAAATCATTGCCAAATCCAATATCATGAAGTTTTCTGCTTATATGAGGAGGGTTCACAAGTGACAAAGTAAACGTCAGAGAGACATGGTCCCTAGCACCAGTATCTAATGTCAGTTCTCTTTCCCCAGGCTGGATTCCTGAAGGATGGCAGAATCTTGGCCCTGGATGTGGAGCATTACAGCAATGGAGGCACTTCCCTCGATGAGTCGTTACTTGTAAGTGTTTTAAGGAAAAAGTTCACATTCTGGAAAGTGTTACATAAAATTATTTATTTATAAAATGTTCAATACTTAAATAATATTTAAGTATAAAAGCATAAAGACCCTTATTGCGGGGATAGCCACATGTTACTGGTGCCCCCAGAGTGAGCCCAGAGATATTGGCAAAGTCTGTGTCTGTGTGTTATCTCCATGTTTCCTATACTTAGAGCTCTTTTCCCAAATGCAAGCATTAGACCTCAACCATGGCACTAATGATATTCTGGACTGGATAATCCTTTGTTGTAGGGGCTGTCCTGTGCATTATAGGATGTTTACCAATAAGTCTTAACAACCAAAAATGTCTGCATTCATTGACAAATTTCCCAGGGAGAGAGGGGGCAAAATTGCCCCTGGTTAACCAATGAAGTAGACCACATACCAAGACTTTCTCTTCCTGTGTTCCAGGATATTTTATTCATTATGTTCTGCAGACCCAGTGTTTAGGGCCTATGGATGCTTCAAGGGCTTTTAGAAACATTTGAAACCTGGAAGAAATGCATTAGCCATTAAATATGAAAATAAAAAACAATGATTTCAAAAGATAAATTATTAAAATCCTTAAAAAGCATTTATAACAAAAATGCATTTAACTGGGGGCCTGGGTCTGTTTTAGCCTGTGTGATATGATGTAGAGAGGGTCAGTTGGTTATTTCTGGCTGGGATTTGGTCTGAGGTCTCAGGATGGTAAGCAGGTGTGGGAGGATGAGGGTCATGTCACATCAACTCTGGATTTCCTCAGGTGATGGAACAGGGAGTTCTGAAAGTGGAAAATGCTTACAAGTTTCCCAACCTGCGCTGCCGGGCCCGGGCGTGCAGAACCAACCTTCCATCCAACACAGCTCTGCGCGGGTTTGGCTTCCCTCAGGCGGGGCTGATCACCGAATCCTGCATCACGGAAGTCGCAGCCAGATGTGGGTTGTCCCCTGAGAAGGTAATGCTGAATAAGTCTCTCACAGGAAGGGCCTTGAATTCCAGCAGTGGGAGGGCCATGGGGGTCATGCAGGTTGAGGAATTAGAGATCCAGAGGGGTGAAACGATTTGCTGAGGGAACCCAGCTGACTAGTTAGTACAGAGGCAGGACTCCACAGTGTAGAGGTCCTCATCTTACTCGGGCTCCTTCCCCAACATCCTGGAGACAGAGGATACTGAGGGGCAAGTGTTGGATTCTAACGTGTTTAGTGAGAAGTCTCCACGGGTTGGGGCATAACTGCTGTCCACAGGTTCTGTCGAACCCTCTTTCCCTGCTTCCTTAACATCTCAAGCAGCTGTCACAAGGTTTCAGTCATTTCAGTTACTGAAATTGTCTCCCGTCTGTTCTTTAAGTCTCTGTCCCAATTTCATTCATTAACCAGCTCTGTTCCTTTCCCTGCACCTCTTCCACCCGGAATCCTGGAGTGGAGTTAGGGTGGGAGACGCCAGGTGTGCTCTCACCCCTGCTCCCTCTGCTGTGGTGCTGAGGTGGGGGGAGAGAAGGACCAGAGAAAACAGCATCTCCCCAGCCAGCTCTCTGTCCTCTCCTTGGTTTGCTGTAGCCGCTTTTCAAGCAAGGTGTCTGGGGCTCCATCTCTGCTAGCTCTCTCAGCAATCGACAGCCCCCTGTGAGGGCGGGCTAATCTCCCAGTGGCCCTCAGCTGGCACCTCAGGCAGAGTTCCCTGATGGCCACGCCTCTTTGCCCCCTGCTGTAGCAATCCTTGGAAAGCCCCAGTCCCCAGTTCCTCTGCCCTCTCCCTCTCCAACATTGGACTCTGCGGCCATAGGCAGGAGCCATCTTCTTTATGTCTCTTGAACTTGTGAGGGGTCCTTGCCCCTCCCTTCCTGGCCATCTCATCACAGCCTCTGTCAGACGTTGTGTCACTTTTGGTAGCATGAGGGAGGAGAGCCAGGTAATGATCTCCCTTCACCCCGGGGAAGTTAGAGGAGACAATAGGCACCCTTAAAACACTACTCCCCCAGTGCCACAGCTCAGTAATTTCCAGTCTTCCTTTTATACTGATCGGGGAATGTTTTTTAGGGGGATGGGGAGAGTACATGTCTGTAATGGCCCTGTCAGCTTGGGAGGTCGGTGGCCACTTTGCTGAGAGTTTTCTCAACTGAGAATGTGAGGTACTTGGCACCTTTAGTTCTCGGCTGGAGGCATAAGTCCCCAATTCTGGGAATTCAGGAAGAATTCTACTCATGGCTTCAGATGTCTGTGATAGAATCTTTTAATATATTCTTCATCCTAGTTATGGGTTATATTTAAATGAACTCTCCTATCTTCCTGTTTGGGAAGTGAGTGGTCTTATCTTGCCCCAGCATCTGAATGATCCAAATCCCGTAGCTTATGTGGCCTGGAGATTAAGTTCAGCATGACCTTCCAACAGACATTCACAAACACAACTAGAATTAAGAGTACAGTGTGCCGGACTGGGTTGAGTTACATAAGACATATAAGGAAAGGATTCCTTCCT